AGAATGGGAGCCCCCTAAGAAATTTTGAAGGATCCCAGCCTGCCCCAAAGATTTCAGAGTACTTCTTTGGTCTCCCTTCCTGGTGTGGTCTTCCTAGGGCAGGATTCAAGAGCCCTCTAGCCTTCCTCATAGCATTTGTTTACTGGTATTTTGTAAGTAAAGTGATTGGAGTCACTTTTATAAAGACTTGTACTTTTGAGCTTAAAAGCACAAATGGGTAGAACAGCAAACTCGCTGTTGAATGGCATAATAACACCGTTCAGACCCCGAGGTCGTACTTTAGACATGTTGTTCATCTGGTAGCACTTTCACAGATTTGTGGGCACAGAACTTTCTGAGTAATATTGACTCTGGGGGGCTGGTCTTGAAATTTATATGCCAGTCTCCACTGGCTCCATAGCTTCTCAGAACGATGATAAATATACTTTATGAACATCATAGACCAGAAGAATGGGTCCTTGAGATTGACTACTGGATTGACTAGTGCTCCTTCTACTGAGCAAATCCATCTTTATGAAGCATAAGGAGCCCCGGCTGCACAATGGTTAAGTGCTCAGCTGCTAAACAAGAGGTTGGCACTTTGATCCCACCCATTGGCTCCATGGGAGAAAGACCTGGCAATCTGCTTCTGTAAAGATTACAGACAAGGAAACTGTATGGGGCAGTTCCACTGTGTCACACGGGGTCACTATGAGTAGTTGGAATCAACTCAATGGCACGCAGCAATAACAACATGCACATATTGTCTGTGAGCCAGGCTTGCTTCCCATCTAGCTCAGTTTCTTGGGGCTGGTGGCCAGTTTCTCTGAGGTCCTGGAGAAGCTGGTGATCATAACAGGATCTTAGACTCTCTGGAGAGGAGGATCAGTGTTCTGTACCCTGACCTGTGGAGGAGGAGGGAAGACTATTCCCTGGCAGGGTCCAGGAATTTTCTGGAGGGGTGGTATCTGCCTCTCCCTGTCTTGCTAGTTGCCTCTGACCAACTTCAGCTGATGATGTTCTCAGACTGTCTTGAGATTCTTTCTCTGAGAGAAGGTCCCTGTCTAATGTACATTTGATTCCTTTCATCCTGTACCCCTTAGTTCACACATAAGTCAGTGGTGATTTGCAGATGCTTGGATACTCCAAGGATAGATCTAGGAGTTAATAAATGGTGGCCCCAAGTTGTCCCTAGAAATGATGGCTGGAGAGAGACCCCACTTGATGAGTGATAGCTGTCAGCTGCTGGAGAGCTTGAGTTTTTCATAAAAATCCCAAATCAAGGGTTTACTCCCTGCTTTGTTACAATGTCCCCTCTCTCAAGGGTTTCTAGGATAAGTTTAAAAGAGTTTGAGACCCTTGAGAACAAGATTAACACTCAGGGGGTTCAAAGAGATTTACTTCCCTTGAAGTTTTAGGGATCACATCTTTATTCTACATAGGGCAGACCTAAGGTCCAACAGGGTAACTCATTTTCCTTACATAACAGAGCAAGTCCTTGGCAGCAATAATCATTCATTCAACATCCATGGTTTGCTAAGACCATGGTTTGTTGTAGCTCAGTCCTCTGGTTCCCAGACTGACCACTAATTGCTTCTCCTTTCCGAGCCTGAAGCTGGATCCTCCCCTCCCTTCTTTCCTTTAGTCCCACTTTCCCCAATAGAAAGTTCCAGATTTGCAGGTACTGGGTGGGCTCTGGGTTCTCTTAAGACATAGCGTAAATAAAAATCTAATTTAAATGCTCTTGAGCGCGGTAACATTTTGACTTAATTTTAAACCAACATGCTGATGAATCCTATCATGTTCTGTGGCAGATGGTTTTAGGTGAAGGTAGAGAAGAGGAGAAGGCTGAGCTCCATTTGGAAGGAGCAGTGTCTATAAGGCCAAAGGAGTTGGATGTTTTGTCTCTCTGGGCAAACTTTGCCATGCCATGAGCTGTTCCTGTTCTCACTCCTCTGTCTTATCTTTCCTCCATTCCTCTTAGGTCCCTCACTAACCTATTCCTGGGAAGCCTGTTTTCTTCTTCTTAGTCTGTGACTGGGTTGCCTAGGGCTATGGGGGACTTGTGCTCAGGAGTTTGTGAGATTAGAAAGCAGAGTTTGGATTTACTTAGGGCAGTGGAAGAGGGATTTGACACTCCCTTTTCTGCTGCCTGGCCCTCAGTGTCACCTTGGCCCTGAGAGAATTTCCTAAGGGAAATTATTACTCAAAGGAAAGGGCTCTGTTAAGCAAATGGATTGTTTTCGTGAAATGATTTCAGTCCCTAAACTTCCGAGTATATTAAAAAAAATTACCCCAAACTTGTAAATAAGACCAGGAGGTGATGACATATGATTTCAATGTCATCCTGAGGCATTGATTAACAGGTCCACCCCTGGATAATTTAGTTTTCTGAGAAAATATGGTCTCACTTTGCTATCTATGAATAATGAAGGGCTCAGATTCTGTGAAGTTGCGTACGAACTGGGAGGTTTTGTCTGGCAGGGATGCAATTGCTTGTTTGTCTTCTTCATGAGGCTCAAGCCCAGTTGGGCTGGCTCAATGCAATCTGTCAAGACCTCCCTTTTTCCCCTTCCTATCTGGACCTACTACTGTCAGGCTTTTTTTCCTCCTCTTCTCTATTTACGCCATTCACATTCCTACTCTTATTCTTTTTCCCTTCCCCGGGTGATTCATAAACTGAGGTGATTCCATGGATTTAGGAGCTCAGAACTTGAGGTAGCTAGGTAAAATGGAAGTAGTTTACATCCATTTTCTCCCATGAAGTCAAGTGCTTACTATCTCCTTCTTATGCTCAAAAACTACATGGACCATTTCTCTAATGTTGAGGAATGGTCCTCAACCTTGTAGGGAAGACTATTCTTGTTGAAATATGTCATTTTTGCTGTTTGACATTCAACAATTCTATTTTTGAGAAATCTCAAGACAGGAGGAAGATAGACTCCAACTCCCAATTCTGTGTGAAAGGAGAGTCTATTTCCATCTCCCACATCTCTGTAAGCTAGAAGTGTAGATGTAGGATATGGGTAGGCATAAGCTATCCATGCTGGATGTAGGATACCAGTGGATGTAGGATATTTGTAGCCAAACAGGTGAACGCTGTTGTCTAGGACTTGGTCTTGAGGAGATAATGAGAGATGATACATAGTTGGATGCAAGAGAGAGTGTGGTGTGGTGGCTACTGTAGGGCTGGCTTTGCCCAGCAACAAAGCAGCAGTGAATTATAAGAGGCAGTGTTGCTAGCTATAGCAATGGAGAATGTCCAAACTGATGACCACAGTGGTGGCAGCCTACACAGAACATTTTTTTTCTTCAGCTTTTTTTTTATTGTGTTTCAGATAGGGGTTTACGGAGCAAATTAGTTTCTCATTAAACAATTCTTTCACATATTGTTTTGTGACATTGTTTGCAACCCATGATGTGTTAACGCTCTCCACTTCTGGACCTTGGGTTCCCCATTACCAGTTTTCCTGTCCCCTCCTGCCTTTTCGTCCCTGCCCCTGTGCTGGTGTGCCCATTTAGTCTTGTTTTGTTTTATAGGCCTGTCTAATCTTTGACTGAAGGGTGAACTTCAGGAGTGACTTCAGTACTTTGTTAGATGAAGGTCTGGGGGCCATACTCTTGGGGTTTCTCCAGTCTCTGTCAGTCCAGTAAGTCTGGTATTTTTTTTTTTTAGCGAGTTTGAATTTTGTTCTACATTTATCTCCAGCTCTGTTTGGGACCCTTTATTGTGATCCCTGTCAGAGCAGGCAGTAGTGGTAGCCGGGCACTATCTAGTTGTGTTGGACTCAGCCTGGTGGAGGCTGTGGTAGTTGTGGTCCATTAATCCTTTGGACTAATCTTTCCCTTGTGTCTTTGGTTTTCTTGCTCCAGACAGGGTGGAACCAGTGGAGTATCTTAGATGGCCACTCACAAGCTTTTAAGACCCCAGATGCTATTCACCAAAGTAGGGTATAGAACATTTTCTTTATAAACTGTTATGCCAGTTGAGCTAGATGTCCCCTAAGACCATAGTCCTCAGCCTTCAGCCCAGTAATTTGCTCCCTCAGGGAGAATGGATGTGTCTATGAAGCTTCCATGACCTTGTCTTGGTCAGTTGTGTTGGTTTCCCCAGTATTGTGTACTGTCTTACCCTTCACCAAAGTTACCACTTATCATCTATTTAGTGTTTTTCCCTCCTCTCCTCTTCCTTGTAACCATCAAAAATTGTTTCTTTTTGTGTGTAAACCTTTTCATGAGTTTTTATACCAGTGGTCTCGTTTCACAGTGGCAGAATCTTAGCTGTGCCTTGTCTTTCAGTTCCTATCCCATCTGAGTTGTTGTGATGGTTAAGACTGTAGGTCAATTTGGCTAGGCCATTATTCTCAGTGTTTTAGCAGTTGTATAATGTTGTGATCATTTCCCTGTTGAAATTTGATATGTGATCACCCCCATGATGGAATCCTATGAGTGGTACTGGCGGAGGTGGGGCCTGTGACAGCTCACCGCTGTCTCAGTTTCATCTCTCTGCCTTCCGCTGATTACTTTCTGCCTGCTCAACTTGCCAAGGTTTTTGGCTTGTTCTAGACTCAGCAGCTGCCTCTTGTTGTCTCACCTCCGGTTCTTGGGACTTGAGCTAGCAGCTTACCTGTTGATCTTGGAATTTGTCAATCTTCTTAGCCTGTGAGCAAGAGTCCAGTTCCCTGACCTGCTGCTCTTGGGTTCACTAGGCCCTGCAGCTACGTGAAACAGGAGAAACCTTGCGGTCTTATTTGCTGATCTTGGAGTTTGTTGACCTTAACAGCCTGTGAGCGGGAGCCCGTCTCCAACCTTCTGACCTTCCAGCTTCTGTGGCTCCGTGAATTGGGAGAAGCCTCTACACTGATCCACGAACTTGGGACATTTTAGCCTCTACAGTTGCAGAAGCTGTTTCCTTGACATAAATTTCTCTCTATATATATTTATACGCTTTACTGGTTTTGCTTTTCTACACAACCCAGCCTAAGACAGTTGTCTAGGCTTCTCTTCTATTTTATAAACTACTAGATGGCTTTCTGAAAAATTCCTTTTTGGCTTAGGTTAAGAACCCTTACTTGTACAGCAGCCTTGACATCTTTATTCCTTAGGCTGTAGACCAGGGGGTTCAGCATGGGGATCACTATGGTGTAGAACACAGTGAGGATCTTGTTGTAGGCTGAAGCACTCTCAGGATTGGGTTGGACATATACAAGGAACACAGATCCATAGAAGAGGGAGAGGGCGGTGAGGTGTGAGGCACAGGTGGAGAAGGCTTTGCGTTGGGCATCCAGGGACCTCAACCTACAGATTGTGACCAGGATGTAGGCATAAGAGACCAAGATGACTGACACTGTGGGGACAGTGACCAAGGTGGAGAAGAAGAGCAGGATGATATTGGCTGTGGTGGTATCAGAGCAGGCCAGTTGGAGCACTGGAGGGATGTCACAGAAGTAATGATCGATGATGTTGGGGCCACAGAAAGGTAGGCTGAAGGCATTCCCTGTCTGTACAGCTGAAATGAACACACCCACAGCATAGGTGACCACAACCAGCTGGACACAGAAGTGCTTGGACATGATAGTGTAGTAGAGAAGGGGGTAGCAGATGGCCACAAATCTGTCATAGGCCATGATGGCCAGGAGCAGACACTCCCCTGTTCCATGGAGGATCATGAGGGCCATCTGGACCACACAGCCTACTAAAGAGATGGACTGGTCAGTGGTAAGGAAGCTGGTCAGCAGCATTGGGGTGAACACAGAGGAGTTGCAGATGTCAAGAAAGGAGAGCACACTCAGGAGGAAGTACATGGGAGTGTGGAGGGGAGAGCTGGTGCGGATCAGGTCTATCATGCCCAGGTTGCCCACCAGAGTCATGGAGTAGATCAGCAGGAAGATAGCAAAGAGGAGTTGTTTAAGGTCAGCCTGGTCTGTGAGGCCCAACAAGATGAATCTCATCACTGTAGTGTGATTCTGCCCCAGTGCCATTCCACTGGTGTGTTTTGCATACCAACAATGAACAAGAGGAGAAACAAGACTGTTAATATTCAAGTCAAAGAGGTAGTCTTTATCATATTCTACAGCTGAAGAACCACATCTTTCTCCAAGTGTCAGACTGCCCCCAAATCTCACATCAATCTCATCATATCAAGCTCATGCTTAAAACTCTTTAAAGGTTTCCTATCCCTCTTAGAATAATGTCTAAATTCTTTATTCTACCAGATGTCCTCTATGACACACTTCCATGCTACCCTGCTCTCAGTTTACCCTCTAACAATTCTACGAACGTACTATGTTATTGCAAATGTCTATGCCTTTCCATATTCTATATTTTTTTACAATGGCCTTTGGTTTCATGGAGCCCAGCTTAGAGCTCTGCTATCTTCCTCTCTCCCTTTCTTTGGGCCACCTTGAATTTCAAAGATAATCCTTTAGTTGAATGAATGACACTACATTTTAAAATTTAAAAAAATTCCCATCTACACTTTTTTTATTGGATTTTCTTATCCCTAATAGGAGGAGAGTTATTTAACATGTCACTAATTTGTGCCATGTTATCTATCGCAGTGCCTGGTGTCAATCACTTAATATCAATTAATTATCAATTATATAAGAAAGACTTCCTCATTTCAGGTAATGGCAACCCAATCTTTCAGTTGTTTCCGCTAAAAACTTCCTAGTCAATTTTGACCCTTTTTTGCCTTTCACTCCTCATCCACTCTATCAGCAAATCATATTGCCTCCACCCTTAAAACATATACTGACTTCCACCAGATCCAAGACATCATCATATCTTGCTTGGACGATTACCATTGATGTTAGCTGGTGTCTTGCTTCCCTCTTATCAGCAGAGCAGCTGGAGTGATTCTGGTAACACACAGGAAAAAGTCTAAATCCTCACAATGGTTCTCCAAGAGCCTCTACTCAGTTAGTCACTATCCTGTTACTTTCTTTTATTTCAGTCTTCTTTTCCTATTCTTCTCACTCTTGCTCACTCTGTTCTAACTACACTTGCCTCCTTGTTCTTCTTAGGACATGCCAAGCATGATTCAGGACCTTTGTACCAACCATCCCCTTTCTTTGGAACACTCTTGTTCCAGTTAGCCACATGGCTCGTTCCTTCATCTCTTTCAGGTTTTGGCTCAAATATCTAACCATCCTATTTAAAGCTAAACCCCCCTGCCTCTCCACCCCTAGTATGCCTTATCTCTCTTCTCTGCTTAATTTTTTTCTCACAGTACTTGTTATCTTCTAACATCCTATATGTCATTGTTAGGTGCCATTGAGTCACTTCCAACTCATAGCGACCCTATGTACAACAGAACAAAACACTGCCCAGGCCTGCACCGTCCTCATGGTCGTTATTATGCTTGAGCCTATTGTTATAGCCACTGTGTCAATCCATCTCCTTGAGGGTCTTCCTCTCCTTCACCAACCCTCTACTTTACCAAGCATGATGATCTTCTCTAGGGACTGGTACCTTCTGATAACATGTATGTGAGACGAAGTCTTGCTATCATCACTTCTAAGGAGCGTTCTGGCTGTACTTCTTCCAAGACAGATTTGTCCGTTCTTTTGGCAGTCTGTGGTATATTCAACATTCTTCGCCAACATCATAACTCAAAAGTGTCAATTCTTCTTCAGGCTTTCTTATTTAATGCCCAGCTTTTGCATGTATATGAGGTGATTGAAAACACCACGGTGGGGTCAGGCACATCTCATTCCTTAAAGTGACATCTTTGCTTTTCAAAACTTTAAAGAGGTCTTTTTGCGGCAGATTTGCCCAGTGCAATGCATCATTTGATTTCTTGACTGCTGCTTCCATGGGTGTTGATTGTGGATCCAAGTAAAATGAAATCCTTGACAACT